CGTTTATCATTTTATTTCGAAATAAGTATAGTGCTCAGAAAATAACCTAAAGTGCTCAAAAATTTTATATTTTTATTGACAAATAAAAAATATCTTAAAATGTTTTACGAAAATTTAAAGATAGAATATTCCGAATTTTAGTTATTTGTTACTCAATTATTAATTTAGATTTTATTAATAATATCAATATTAAATAAATTATTTAAATAGTTTGAACACTTTGAAAAAAAAAAGAACAAAATGAATAACAAAAAAAAATACGATGCGATTTGGAACTATTTCCATGATAATTCCGATAAAACAAAATATATTTGTAACAATTGTAAAAATTCATACTCTTTAAAAACAAGTATCTCCTCTATGAAAACACATTTAAAAAAATATCATGATAAAGACTATAAAGAAATGGATTTAAAAAATAAAAAAAGAAAATTCGAAAGAAAAAACCAAAAAAATCACCAAAGTCAAAAAATATCAAAAAAAAAAGAAGAAAAGAAAAACTCTATTATAATTAATTATGATATTGATAACAAACAATTGAAAGAAGGAAAATATTCACGTGTAATATTAAACAATGTTTCAATAGAAGATATCAGATTTTTAAAACAAAAAATAGTATTTGAGTCTATTGAATTTGATAAATAAACATTATATTAAAATATCTAATTTTTATTCTTTAATATTTTTAATATTTACTATTTTAAACTATTTTAACCTATATACAAATTATCTTACAAAAAATATTATACATTTTAATGTTCGTTTGTTTATCATTTAATACTTTTGTATCAAATTTATCAGCTTTAAAATTCTTTTAATTTTTCTCTTTCAGCTTCTTTTCGACTTCTTTTTTTTCTTTCTTCTCCAAGTTTTCTTGTTGTATCTTTTAGATTGACAAGTTCGAGTCAATCATTTGTTTTTTTATAACGTAGCGGTGATATAAAAAAAGGTTTTTTATTTAAATAAAAATTTTTATTTAATAAATAAAGTTTTGTGGAAAGTGTTTTATTAAAAAACACCAATAAAAAAAGTTAATAGTCATCCAGACTATTAAAGCAATGAACCAAAAGAATTCTTTTGAATAAAGAATCTTAAAAATAAAAGCTTGAATATCCAATTGAAATAATTGGATTTCTTCGGGAAATGTGTCTGTTACTAAAAGAATTAACAAGACACAGATAATAATAAGTGTATAGAAAATTTTTAAAAACATTTTTTCTTATAATAAAAAGATTTTTTTTTTGTGTAAAAAGATTTATTTTAAAAGTTTGAATTTTTTGGATTTTTAATTATTAACTCTTCGTAAAAAAAATCATGTTTAAATATTTGAAAAAAAAATTTTTTTTTCGCTTGAAAAAAAATTCTTCACAATCAAAATCCAAAATTTAATCTATAAAACCTATTCGTGAGAAAAAAAATACTTACATTTCTCTAAAAATATAAATGGAATAATATAAAAACAAAATTCTTTATGACTCATCAGCCAAAATTCCATATCGGTTATTATTGTAAATCCTTTTATATAATCGAATTTCAATTTCTATGGATTATCCATTTCTGGATTAATTGATAATCAATCTATTTTGGATTAATTGATATTCATTTTAAAAATATTCACACGTACATGCGAACAATCATGATTTACAATAATTTTTTTTATCTGTAATCATATCTTATCATCCAAATCTTATATTTATATTTTTATCAATAAACAAATCATTATTATATATAATTCTTAATATATTTATTAAACTCAATAAAATTTTATTTATGATTATAATTATCTCAATTCATATTATATTCAATATATTTTAAACATAAACTTAAAACCCCCGAAGCAACCGCTCCAATAATATTTTCTTTATACGAACAAAAAATAAAAAACATGATTATAAAAAAGAAAAAAATATTCGATAAATTTTTAAAAAAAAAAATTCTATCTCTTTGACGTTCTCTCTCTTGATTTTCTCTTTCTTTTTGTCTTTCTTCTCTTTCTGCTTTTCTTTCTACTCCTCTTTCTTCTTTTTGTTCTTCAATTAGTTTAAAAATGATTTTATCCTTATTTTTAAGTTGTTGTTCATTTTTTTCAATTTGTTTATTGTAACGAGTATGGATTTTACCAATTTCTTTTTTATAATTATTATACGAAAATAATTCACTATTTTCTTCCTTTCTTATTCTTTCATCATACCATTGATCAAGAAACTCATATGCTTGTTCTCTATTGATAAAATATATTAAATAAATGATGTTTAATTAATTATAAAAAAAATATTCACTTACTTATTCATTTCTAAAAAATTACGTTGAGATAATACTAAAGAATTCATTTTTTTTTTAATTAGTTAATTTATACGGAAACAAATTATTTATGTTATTTATATTAAATTTAAATTATAAAAATGATTATTAATCATAAAAGCCTTAAAATACGTATCATGTTACAAAAAAAAAAATGATTACTAAACAAATTTCTTAAAAAGAATAATCATCTTTCATCTACTCAAAAATTGGGGTATTTACTGATAAAAATCTTTATTATTAATACGTTATTTATATTATTCATAAATAAAATTTGTATCACATAATATACAAATATTCACAATTCACAAATAATTTCTTTATTTATAAAACACGCATAATCAATTAAATCTTTATTCATAAACACAAAAAATAAATAACAAAATATAAAAAAAAATCTATAATTTATTTTTAAACAAAATTTACGTAAAATCTTAGGCTAATTTATTTAAAATTAAATCAAGTTTCTTATTAAATTCTTGAGATTGAATTTCAAGTTTTTCAGTAATTTCCTTATTTTGATTTTCAATTATGTTAATTTTTTTCTTAAGTTCTTCATTTTCTTCTCTAAGTTTTTTAATTGATATTTCATATTTTTCACTTAAACTTTTATTTTCACATTCTAATTCTATAAATTTTCTTTTTTTATCATCTTCATTTTTTTCCAATTCTTCTTGTTGGTTTTTTAGTATTTTAGCATATTCTTTAATTTTATCAACAATCTCGTGATAAGAACAAACACAAATTCTATTCTTAATATTAGAACTGTTTAATTCATTTAAAGCATGACTTGATAATTCTACATTTGATACAAAAAACCCAATAAAACTATTATTATCTCTTCGATTAAGCATATTTAGAAATTCTCGAATTTCAGATACATAAATTGTATAATTTGGATTCTTGAATTTACATTGAATTAAGAAATTCAATAATTGATATTGACCTATAATAGAAATTATTATTAGTATTACATATTTTCATCGTAATGTCAATGTCTACACTAGGCGATTAATCAAATTGATCCTCACGGGTTACATGAGTCTGATTCTCACTCCTAGCAGCGTAACTTAACACATTAATCTTTTACTCAATATGAATACTAAGTGAACTCACCATGAATATCAACACAATCATCTGGTAAAGTATAATATGCTTCTTTTGAAAACGAAATAAAAGTTGTATTTATACATGCTATGATTCTGTTTTCTACAAGTATCTTGTAAACAAAAAATTCGAATATTTTTCCTTTTTCTTTATTAATCTTTTTATTATTTATTGAAGTTAAATAATCATTGAAATCATAATTTTCAAATTCGGGAATAGACATCATAAGATTTTCAACAAACTCTTTGAACGATTGTTCAAGACCCGAAACAACTAAATCAAGAGACATCTTTGTATAGATAAAACAATATCAAAAACAACTATATTTATATATTTTAATTAATAACATGAAATATAATTTATTAATAATAAAACATAATTTTTAATATTATTTAAAATAAAAATTGGATTTTACAAATCAATAAAAAATAACTATCTAATAAAATTATTCTTCTTTGCTTGTTTTTACAATCAAATGAGAAATCTCATAAAAATAATCAGTTTTAAGTTTTGTAATCAAATCTTTTAATTCTTGTAAAAAATTATTTACCGAACATGTCATGAGTTGAGACAATAATGATGTAAATTCCTGTGCTTTTTCATTATTATATAAAAACATGTGACCTTCTTCTCGATAAAATTCATCAACTTTTTTAAAATATTCATTTTGAATATTATTTTGAATATCATCTATTATTGTATTTACACATTCAGGATGTTCATTATCATTGAAATATTTTTGATATGAATCTAATGCATGTAAATGTTTAAGAAAAAGTTCTTCCATAATCCATTTTTTACTTTTATCGTCTTGCATTATTATTAATATTATTATTTGATTTTTAAATTTTTTTTAAAATACTTGTTATTTATATTTATTTTATTAATAATTCAAATTAATAAAAAAAAAAATAAATTATATTAAAAATTAGTAATTTCTATTATCAATAAATTAATAATAAAAATTCTATAAAAACTATTATTTTAATTTTATGATTAAACACAAAACTTTTTAACTCAAATATGAATAAGGTACTAATTTATCAAAATATTTTAAAAAATTATTAAATTTAATATTGTTTATATTTTTTTTAGGAAATTGAATTAACTACTCATATCATCGAAGATGCTTTTAACGATCAAGTTAAAATTGGTCATTATATCAAAGGATGTTTTGGTACCAACTATAAAATTGTTGAAATAATTAATAGAAATCCTCAAAAAAAAATAAGTGTGAAGTAAAACTTGAAATTTTGAATAATAATAATGAAAAAGAAAAATTAATGGATTTTGGTACAACTAATCCTCTGGAATCAGGTAAAAAAAAAACTTATTATTAATAATATAAATTATTAAACAAACTATATTACTAATTCCTTTAATGTTAATAATCATAAAAATCTATATATGATTCGAACTTGGTGAGTTTTATTTTTATTATTCATATCAAAAGTCTTTTCAAAACTTGTTTTCTTGTATGAAAATCACAATACTATTTATTTACCAATATTCGATAACCAAGAATGGTAAATAATGAGTATGAGATTCATGAAATAATAATGATGCTAAACTTTTGATACATTTGAGTCAGGGAAACCTGACGCTGGGGCCTGCACCACTTGAATTAGTTTACTAACTTTTTCATTTTATAAACCATGATAATAATTTTTATTAAATGATTGGTTTTTTTGTAGGAGAATATCTTAAAAAATATTATAAATTCGATGAAAAAAGAATGTTGTTATGTAATAATATTTATTATATTGTTATGTTACAAGAATTTACTTTTGAATTTTTATTTTATGATACAAATAGTGGTAATGTTGTTATGGAAGAAAAAACTGGTGATTATATGTACACGCGTACATATTATCATAAAATCATTGATGAAATTTAAATATATTATTATTCATTTTTATTATCATGTTATTTTTATTATTTAAATATCAATAAAATTTTATAATATTATTTAAGGATATTTAGAAATTTGTGTATATTTTTCAATTGTTTTTAACCCATCAATCAAACTACTAGGTATTCCCTTAATTTCTAAATTATTTAATATTGTTTTACATAATTCTAATGAATCATCAAGTATTTCTACATATTCTTGATTTTGTTCTATCATACTATTTACATCATTTCTTAATTTTTCATTATTTTTTCCTTGATAATCTTTTTCTTTTACCAATGCAGTAAGATCTGAATGTAATCGATTAAAAACTCCTGAAATAGTATAATTCTTAGAATTTTCTAACCATATCTTTATCTCCTTAATACGATCATTAGATAAAAACATTTCTTGTCCATCTTCAGATTCACTTTTATATTCATCTGTGATTTCAGGAACAACAGCTGGTTGTTCAACTATTCCAACATTTGGATTAGTTGGATCTAATTTTTTACTTTGTTTTGGCATTATTAATCAGATTTATTCTCAATAAAATATTTAAATATCAATCTTATTTATATCAAACATTTATATATAATATTTTCAAAATAAAATTTTACAATGAATAAATTATCTGAAAATAAAATAAATGAAATTATTAATCATGCAATTCAACATTGGACACATACTTTTGGTACAAAAAATAGAAATACTCATGAAGCATATATTGGTCTTAAAAATTTTATTACAATGATTAATAATTCTGAAAATATTGGATATTTTGGTGATGGTAAAATTGATACTATGAGAAATCAAGCATTAGAAAAAGTTAAATCAATATTAACTAATGCTTACAACAAAGGATTGGATTATTGGTCAGGTAATATTTATTTATATTATTATTATTTAAATAAATTTTAAATTTTATTATTTTTAATTATAGAAGGACTACTTCATCAAGTTGCACATCGAGTATATCAAGAAAAATTATCATTAATTCAAAATCAAAATAAACAATTATTGATAAAAATAAATGAATTAAATAATTCTTCAAAAAAAAATATTTCTTTAAATATTAATGATAAAATAGATCAAATATTAAAAAATCTAGATATCAATTTTATAGATAACATATCATTAGAAAATAAAATTGATAATATTACTGAATTTACTAACACTTTATCAAATTTTTAAAAAAAAATCTATTATTTTATTAATAAAATTTATTATTACATAAATGAAATAAAATCTTTGTCTTTATCACTAAAAGTATTACATAAATTTTTAATCAATACAAATGGAGCTTTAATTTTTTCTATTTCATTCTTATTCTCTTTTGAAATTAAATTTAATTGATTAATTTGATTAGATATTTCTTCCATTTTTTCCATTATTTTAATATAATTATCATTATTATTATTAATTAAATTTTCTTGATTATTATCTCTATTTGGATTACAATCATCACATAAATTTTCTCTTGTTTTTTTAACAACACACCAACATGATTTACAAAAAGTAATATTTTCCAAATTTCCACCAAAATTTCTATGTAAATTATCTAATAAATTTTCAATATCTATATTTGAATGAAACTCGAATGATTCAATTATTAATTTTCTCAATCTTTCTCTTTCAATTCTTTGTTCATTATTTATATTCAAAGTATTTATTACTCTTGCAAAAGAGTAATCATCATAATACCAATCATCAGAATCATCAGTTTCTCCTTTAGAATTCCAAAAATCTCCAGATTTTTCATTCAATGCTTCTTCGTAAGAAATATCTAATTTATTTTGTAATCTCAATACAGTTCTCAATATTGCAGATTGATTCATTGGATAAGCTGATAATCTCGTTTGATTTGTATCTGTCCAATGAATAATACGAGTCCATAATTTTATATTTGGATTATCCATATCTCTCCATACTTTGTATGCAACTTGATGATGTATATCACAAAAATCCCCAATTCCATCTAAATAACTTGCTCGTTTATGTTCCTTTTGACACACAACACATTTTACAAGATTTTTTCTATATTCATCACTATTTTTATATTGAATTTTTCTATTATCATTATCATTTAAATTTTCATAAAATTCTGCATTACACCCAATACATAAAAAAGTATTATTCGTCTCTCGAATTTTATCGACATTAATAATATCAAGACATCTACAACAATGATATCTTCGATTATATGACATATTAGGTTGATATTCCTTTATTTCTTCAATTCTTCTCTTGAGAAGATCTGCAGAACACCCACATTCTAATAATCCATCATTATCTGGTTTCGCATATACATGATTCTTTGAATAAATTCTTTCATATTGACATGTTCTCAAAGTATGACCTTTCACCCCACAAACACGACAAGGTAATGTTGGACAATATATATTTATATGTCCATATTTTTGACACACTTTACATTGAGTTTGTGAACAAAAAATTGTTTGATGATCTGTTGTTGTTTTACAAAAGTTACAATAAGACATTTTGTTTATCAACTTACACAAGAAAAAATGATATTTCGATACTGTTTTATATTTATTTGATTATTAATTTAATAATATTTTTCGTCATAATCTTTAAATTATTATTATTTATTAATAAATATAAAATCAAATAAATTAAAATAAATACTTTATTTATATTGTAATATTATTCAAACAAAATATTAAGTTTGATAATCAAAATTTAATTGTTTATTATTTAATTTGTTTATTTGTAAAAGAGTTTAGTTTTTGTTATTACGTTGATTGCAAGTTCCCACAATTATGATATCATCGTTGATAATATCGCTATTGTGGCTACGGCTCTCAGCCTAGCTTGTAATCGCTGTAACAAACGTCAACTAAACAACCTCAAACCATATCTCCTGATCTCTCCTCCCGACATTAGTGTGGGAGGGATGGTTATAGAACATTGCATCGTGAGCCTCGATAGTTTATGAATCATTCGCATGCGAATGATTCAACACAATCTCATTCACAATCCAATGTTCCCAATTTGTTTATTCCTATCAATATTATTTTGGATTATTAATCAATTTTATTATTTAAACATCATAAAACGATCAAATAAATTATTTTATTCAATCATCAACATGTCTCAACCTACACAAAAAGATATTCAAAAAAGTTTTCTTTTCAAAGTAATAAATGAATCCACCAAAACAAAAGAATTGAAAGAAATCGATGAATTGTTTGAATTATACATAATCAAAGAATTATTAAAACTCTGTGAACCAAACATAAATAATAACAATTTTAAAAATGAGAGATTTATTGTTTATGAAATCCTTAAAAAAATGAAAAAGGAAACAACTTCAAAATTAATTGAAGATATAACTGAAACTTGTGAAAATCATGGTCTTGATAGTTATATTAAACATTGGAAGAATAGAGATATTAATAATGCAATTATACAAATTAGAAATAATAATAAACATTATTCTCATAACGTTTATGGAAATAAAATTAGTTTAAACAATACAGAATCGAAAAAATTATTAGATGAAACTGTAAGAGATATTAATACTGATTTTGATTATTAAGTAAATTTATTATTATTATTATTATTATTATTATTATTATTATTATTATTATTATAAATTAAATATAATATATTTTATTTTAGTTATTTTTATTTGTTTATTAAATACTTCAAATAAAATTAATATTTAATATGATTAAATGTTTTAATTAATTATCCAAAGATGGATTTGTGGTTACGAAATTTATATTAATGTTATTTTCTTCATTCGCAAACATCCAAATCACAATTCCATATTTTCTTTCTAAAACAAAGTTTGATTGGTTTTTTATTATTTGATAACATCTAATATTATTAATATATCGAATTGAAGTTTCATTATGCATTGCTTCATTTAGAATTTTATCTGTGTTTAGTATTATTTTATATTTTGTTATATAAAAATATGTTTCTTTACTTTTGATATCAGAAAGGAAAATAATTTCTAATTCTTTATAAAAAATTTCTTCTATATAAGACATTTTTTTTGTTATTTTTGATACTAGATTTGGATTTTTATAATAATATTTTATTAATAATTATTCAATAAAATTTATATTAACAAATTATACTTATTTATTATTTTATAAATTAAATTATTAATTACAAAATTTTATAAATAAACAATTATTTTATCTATTATCGTTAAAATGTCTTTTGTATTTCCTGGAATTAATATAACATTTGAAGATTTTGTTCAGAAATTACTAAAAATAAAATTTAAAGATTTTGAAAAACCAGCAAAAACAGATCAAGAAAAAAGAAACAAAGGAAAAGTCTTTGAATATTTTTTATATGAACTAGTATCTCATAATAGAATGATTGTAGAAAT